AGCAGTCAAGTGCCTTAGGCACTATGCTAGTCAAAGAAATGTTTTCCTTCAAAGTGCAAAACTGTATATAATGTAAGGAAGGGATAAACTCTATTTTCAAGATCTTTGATCTCAAGATTCCTGGAACAGGCAGGAAGAGGCATAGCCATTTGAAGGGAAGGTTGCAGGGAGTCCATTGCCCATGATTAAATAAAGAAAATAAATAAGGGAAAGTGATGGAGTCAAGCAGAGAGGAGATGCTGGTACAGAAAAAAGAAGCCTTTTTGATTGCGAAGTTTTCAAACACATTCACTTCATAGCTGAATCATCCCTTGATGAGGCCCATGTTGAAGAAAAAGATTTAATTAAAATGCATACCTAGGCTAACCATCCTCACCACAGACTCCACAAAGACCTTGATTCCTCAGCAAGCTTGGCTTTGACATTGAGTATAAACATCCAACCTATAAACTGAGAGCTGGCCCACACTTCTGGGATCTAAACACTCATGACAGTGACAGGCAGAGGGACGCTGGTAACTCATTGCCATCAAGTCAATTCTGACCCTATAGGATGCCGACCCTATACACGTTCCAAGGCTGTAAATCTTTATGAGAGCAGGCTGCCACATCTTTATCCCACGGAGCGGCTGGCGGGTTCAAACCGCCAACTTTTCGGTTAGCACCCAAGTGCTTAATCATTCTTTGGGATGCTGCTCTCACTCACTCACTGTCATTGAGTGGGATCAATTTCCTTCCAGTCTGTGGTCCAGCAGAGGAATGGAGACAGTAAGAATCAAGGCAGGGACATTTTTCACCACCAAGGCAGAGTTATCTGTCAGTTCTATTCAGAGGGGAATATAGGCAAAGGAAGGACTAATCAGATCATTTTTTCCTGTGTATATAAGCTGCATGAGGCATTGGTGATTCAGTGGTAGAATTCTTGCTTTCCATGCGAGAGACATGGGTTCAATTCCCAGCCAATGCACCTCATGAATGGCCACCACCCACCTGTCAGTGGAGGCTTTTGTATTGCTATGATGCTAAACCGATTTCAATAGAGCTTCCAGGCTAAGACAGAGTAGGAAGAAAGACCTGGCAATCTAATTCTTAAAATTAACCAATGAAAACCTTTTGGATCACAGCAGAATATTTTTCTGACTTACCTGCTTTGGACATGTCATCAAGAGTGATCAGTCACTGGAGGAGGGCATTATATTTGTTGAAGAAAAGGGCCAGCAAGGTTGAGGGTGACCCTTGGTGAGATGGATTGGCACAATAATCCAAAGAATGGACTTGAACATGCCAGTGATTGTGAGGATGAGTCAAGACCAGGCAACATTTTGTTCCATTGTACATAAGATCGCCATGAGCCATTAAGTTTTATGCATTCCAATATTTCAGATCGCATCTTGACATATCTGACACATCTTGTCCTGATGAAGTCTGGTGGCTCCCAAAATAAGTAGCACACAAAATTGCTACTAATCAGCAAAATGGCCTGAAGAAACAAGTGCTTCAGTGATAAAGCTACATGTGTTTACCAATATATCAATATTTGTCACATAAGAATAATTTTCTTTTATTATAAATTTGGCAGCTCAGTAAAGAGCTCCCGTGGGAGTTGACTCCACTTCATGGCAACCCCATGTATGTATGAGCAGAACAGTGCTCCGTAGGGTTTTTAATGGATGAATTTTTGGAAGTAGATCACCAGGCCTTTTTTCTGAGGTGCCTCTGACTGTTGTCAAACCTCTAACTTTTCAGTTAGCTGCCAAGTATGTTAACTGTTCTGGTTACCTAGTGCCACTCTGACAAGAAATATACCACAAATGGGATGGCCGTAACAAACAGGAGTTTATTCTCTTACAGCCTGGAGGCTTTAAGTCCAAGTTCAAAGTGCCAGGATCTAGGGGCTGAGTGAAAACCCCTCAACTTTGCGGTCCAGCTCTGCCTCCTGCTCCCGGCCCGCTGGAGCTAGAGGCGTTTCTTCACTCAGATAGCTGCTGGCTGCTGAGGCTGAGAAGCCCTAAGGGTGACAAGTAAAAAGGCATGGTCCCAATGTTGCCAAACCACACGACAGGCCATTAACTTAGGTCCATTGTAAGTCCCAAAGTCGGCAGAGCATAGCAGGCTGCTGAGCAATGACACAGCTACATGTAGGGTCTAAGCGTGCCATAGGCTAGAGACCATTCCCAAAGCTGCTGCTTATATACAGGAAGCAGACCACATCCCTAAGACAGCTATTCAGCTGCTCACAGTAGATTCCACCATGGAGTTGATTACCAGTCTCATCGTGGGGAATACTACATTCAGCTGCCCAGCCACTCAGCCAGGCCCAGCTAAGTTGACACAAAAACATAACCACCACATTAATCATTTGCACCATCCACGGACTCCAAGCAACTCAATATTAATTTCACATTAATTTTGTGTAATTTTTCAGAATTACCAATCATAACAAAACTCAAAACAGGCAAGAAGGTAGAAATATCTTGATAATAACCATATCAAACTGAAAGAAATAGTTGCAGATGCTTCAGAATATCACTCTTATTATATCACAAGGAAATCAGTTACCAACGCCAAGCTGTGAAGCTGAAAGAAACTTTACACTATCAATCATTTTTTTAAAGGAGATCAAACATTCTGTAAGAAAGATGGAATGATCTTTCTATTGTCTTGATAGAAAATTATATTTAAAAGTCATTATCATCCAATCAATTTGATAAAAGATTCTATAGAAGAATCCTGATCAAAAGGAGGAAAATGCAGAAAAACATTTCAAATTCTCATGGAATCCAGACTTTCTGGAGCCATGGAGGCCAGATAAACCCCTGAAACTATTGCCCTGACATAATCTTTAAACCTTAAACTTTAAGCCAAAAATATCCCCTGAAGTCTTTTTTAAACCAAGCAACAGTTTAGCTTAACTAAGAAAAATGTCTGCCTTGAACATTATGCTTTTCGAAGAACTATCTATATGGGATGAAATTAACTACAGAAACTTGAAAGATTAGATAGGAAGTTTAGGGGGCAGTGGGTTCATGTTAATAGGGGAGGAGCAATTCAGAAAAAGAGAGTGAGAATGGTTGCACAACTTGAAGAAAAATATCAACATCACTGAACTGTACATGCAGAAACTGTTGAATTGGTATGTTTTGCTGTACATACATATTCTCAACAACAGTAACAACAAAATAAATAAACATTTTTAAAAAATCATTATCATCAAAGAGATACGGCCAAAAGTAGAAAAAAGGAATCATAAAAAGTATCTCAAAAAAATACATAACAAAATGACAGCAACAAATTAAAACTTATCAATAATCACCCTGAATGTTAATGGATTAAATGCAC